AAAAAAAAAAAAAAAAAAGGAAACAAAAAAAAAACCACATAACTAAAACTGTAGATAAATTCATTAGATGCAGACGAGAAAAACAGGCAAAACTGCAAGTTTTACCAACAAAAAGTACAAACTATGATGCATATTTGCTTTATCGCTGCTTTTAGTTGGTACTTTTTTACAACAAATGCAGCGTACCGGCTCGCACAGCTGAAGTGGTTCACCACAGTGTAATTGGTTTGAATCCAAAGTGCTCACACTCAGCTCTGAAACAAGTTTTTCCAAATCACAGCCAGCGTTTCTTTAGCTAGCTGCTCTTCACGGTACTCCAGACCCCGCCCCCCGATCGAAACAAAGCTCATGGACGTTTACAACATTTATGTTACAAACTGACCAAAACTGGAAATTGGGAAAACAAAACAACAAGAAGTGTTTAAAAGGACAATAACAGCTGAAAGAACGAGCTCTCGACATATCGGTCAGTCTACGTTTCTACCCTCATCTGTGGTCACGAGCTTTGCGTAGTGACTGAAAGAACGAGATCGTGGATAAAAGCGGCCAAAATGAGTTTCCTCCACAGGGTGTCTGGGCTCTCCCTTAGAGATAGGSTGAGAAGCTCAGTCATCCAGGAGGGACTCAGAGTAGAGCCGCTGCTCCTCCACGTCGAGAGGAGCCAGTTGAGGTGGTTCATCTGGTAAGGATGCCTCCTGGACGCCTCCCTGGTGAGGTGTTCTGGGCACGTCTCACCGGGAGGAGGTCCAGAGGAAGACCCAGGCCACGCTGGAGGGACTATGTCTCTCCACTGGCCTGGGAACACCTTGGAGTTCCCCCAGATGAGCTGGTCCATGTGGCTGGAGAGAGGGAGGTCTGGGTCTTTCTGCTTAGACTGCTGCCCCCGAGACCTGACCCTGTAAGAGGAAGAAAACAGACGGACAGATAACAGCAGGTAAAAATCAATTCTTAATCTATTGGTTCTTAATCTGCATAATTTTTTTATTATGAGATTGATTTATTGCTTAAGAACAATTTAAACATCAATATGCACATTTCATTTGAAAGTGATTTTTTTCGTTTCGTATTCATGAGTTTGCCTGTAAAAAGCGTGACTGTAAATGTGCCAGAGTTAGCCTACCATTTGTTGTTTGTAGAACCTGGACAGGTGTTTCACATTCACCCTGAAAACACCCGTTTTCTTCTCCTTACATGTGGTGAAGTCCTGGAGGCAGCCGGTCCATGAAGTCCTCAGACATTCTCTCCACACAGCGACGCTCTCTGTTTTTCAACAACTGCAGGGGTTTCAACCCCATGAGATTTCTGCCTACGTCCACAACACAGGAGGTATTAAATGTTCACAACAAATCCACAAACCCAAACTTCACAACGTCTGAACTTTTGCTTTATTTTGAAGCCATAAAACCAATAATCTCACATGTCCTCTGGGTTAACATATATTAAAATTCAAAAGCTTTGTAAATTATGATTAGGAGCTCTCTCTGCTGCAGACTTTGTGATTCCAGTTGATAGGACGAGGACATTTCCTGCCTTAAAATCTCACCTGCTGCAGGTTTAACCTTCCAGGCCGCCTTGTTTTATTGAGCTCGCCTTCAGCGAGGCCTTGCGGGGCCTCGGGAAAGCCTTGGCAGCCGAACACAGCCAATAACTCACGGCAGCACTTCAACAACGCAGTTAGGACTCAATTATTTTCCACCTTTGTTGTGTCCCAAGCAGCTCTGCGAAGAAACCTCAGAGTTACTGCCACGTGAACCCAAACCATCACTCTTTCAAGAGTCTTTAACTTCTAATGGCTTCAACACTTCTTCAAAGATCAGCTTCTTGGAAATTAAAACTCCGACGCTTTCAAGTCTGCAACCAGCTAACGAAGTTTTACTGCTAACGAAGCTGTTATCTGCATGAGAAAAGTTAAGCTATACGTTGAAATGCATATCTGAGGAGATCACAGTTTCAAAGAGTCACTGGCGCTTATCCAATCACACAGCAGTCAGCCTCTCTCCCTCCTCCTCTTTATTCCTTTTTTTTAAATTTTATCTTCACCTCTCACACGTTCCCTCGATCCCGCTCCCCTCTTCTTCTTCTTCTTCTGCGTCGTTTCTCTGAATCGGATCCATGTTTGCTATCACTGCCTCCCTGCTTTATCTCGGTTAAAGAGTGTCGATCCCCTCCTCGCTCTGGAAACCACAGCGTCGTGGCTCGACGACACACACACACACACACCCACACACGCACACACACACACACACACACACACACACACACACAC